GTCTCCTTTAGCTGTGTGCCTGTAACAGTCCTTGGCTGCGATTTAAGTACGTAATACTTTGCCAGAAGGATAGGAAGACAGGTGATGGGAAATTCCACATTATCAGAACTGAAGAAGGTCATCTAACATGACAGATTTTGGACCACTTCCAAACTGTCTAAAAGGTAAAAGTCTTGCCCTCATAATTCAAGCTGTTTAGAAAAAAAAACACCCCAACCAGCAAGAACAAAACCAATCCAAACAAGAAAATCCAACAAAAAAAAGCAACCCACTTAGTCACCTTAGAGAGGAATTAATAACAGTGGAGGTAAGCCGTGAAAGCTACAACATGTAAGACACAACATTGCATATATGTATATGTAGAAACCTGTGTGATTCTCATCTCAGCTATTTTGATATTCCACTGGTACGTGTACTTCACTGGAGTTGTTGGAGATATGAACTGAGGAAAGAGTCTACTGTCAGTAGGCAACAGAAATAACTGTGGGACTTCTGTTTTGTTTACCACCAGCCTTATACAGTAGATTATTCAGCACAATTAAAAATCTCTCTAATGTGAGAAATTCAGCCAGGGCGGTTGACACAAGAGCTTGCTACTGTGAGTTTCCTTTGAAGAGTGCCAATCAAGCAAATGAAAGTAACCCCTTGGATGCACAAACAACAGATTATTGTGAGTAATTACCATTAAAGTGTGTTCACAAGTTTCACGACTACAGCATAAGGTGGTAGATCAATTCCTTTTTAAGTTTACCCAAACTAAGATCATATTCTGATGTTTGATTTCCTTAAACTTTGATATTTGTATTCTAGATTAACATTTGCCTGAAAAACAAAATAGTATGTGACATCAAGGGTTCTTTGGTACATCTGTAAGCACAGTCTGCTTCTAGTTTAATGGTCCTGAAGTAGAAATCCTTTGTGAAATATAATAAACCTGCATGACATTTATTAAAACCACTAAAATTAGTGACTGGAAACCCCCCCCCCCCCCTTGGCTCTCTGTTCTCCATTGGGTGTGTAAGTAGGTTTGAGGGCTTCTGCCGGAGGTTGATAATACTGTATTGCTTGATAGCTTTATATTTTTCTTTTAAAGACCTGTTCACAAAAAGCTCAGCATGGCAGGAATATCTTAAAATAGCACCAGGACTGGAAACAATGCAACAAAAATGTGAACAAACAGTTCTGGAAAGCACATACTTAAGGGGAGTTCTTTGTAGGTCGAGAAAAGCATCTGTACTGGAAAAGAGTTCTTGATTTGCTTTTATATTCCAGGGATCTCTGACTGGGTTGTTACTTACTATTTGGAAATCTTAAAGAATTTAAGCTAGAAGCTTTCCTGTGTTGCTTCCACCATGTGTTGCTGAATATACTGAAGTCTTTTAATTTTTGCCCTAGGTTTTTGTTGTTGTTGGGGTTTTTTTTGTTTTGTTTTGTTTTTTTTTTTTTTTTTTTACTTTTTACCATCTATTCACTATCTAGCTGTAAATGTAAATTCAGGTTTCTTTCTGTCATTGGGTAGGAGTCAAGAAGGTGTGTTAGACAAAGAAATAAAATGAGGACTTACTACTAAACGAAGGTTTGTCACGATGAAGTTAGTGCAAATTAACAGCATACCATTACTGCCCATTAGCTTTTGGGTGCTCTTGGGAAATGAGGCTGAAGTACCTGCACCGTGTTGTGTGGACAGGTCACTTTCTTTTAAAAGGAAGCCCATTGCCACATTTTATGTTATGCTGTTGTAAGGTTACACTCTTCCTTATTTACAGCCTAGCATGCTTGTGCAGGCTGTGCTGGGAGTGGTTTTTGAGCCCTTACTTGCATGCTGTGGACTTGAGCGTATGCAGAGATTCTTGCAGGACCTTGGGTACAGTGTTTAGCATAGAAACACACAGGCTGATATGATTACAGTCGGTTCCTCAGTCACACTTCTCCTTTAATGGACAGGGGTTGGATAAGAAATCGGCCTCAACCAATAAAATATTGTCCAGGAAGACATGCTATTACTAAACTTGCTTACCTAGGCACTTTCCCCCCCATGTATTTTGGGATTTGTGCTAGCCACAGGAGTTCTTCCACTAAGTTCAGAGTTGCATAAGGGTTGTTTAAGCATGTTTGCTTCATCGCAGGAGATGTCTGACCTTTGGCAATCAGAATATGCTCAGTGTGGTAGACCATGGTGGAGAGGATTTTTAACAAACCAGTAATCATGAATGTTAGCAGTTTGGTTGGTTTGGATTCCTTAAATGTTTTTCTTGTTGTGTTGCTAGATGTATTTCAAGTGCAGTATGTGTCTCACGGTCATTTGACTAGTGAAAACTCTAAACAACTGGAATAAGTTCTAGATTTCTCTGCAGTATTTGTAATTCATGTGTATCTGTAACTTGATAATCCTTGGTTTTTAAGATAATCTGTGTCAGTACAGTGGATAAAATTAGCCCATACATGATGTATAGCTCTTGTTGTTGGATAAGAATCTAGCTCTCCTAAGCAAACTCAATTATTGCATTTGTATGTTGCAGTCTGTTCCATTTACAATAGCTTTGCCTAACACTGAGGTGCAGTGATATGCTTTTGGAATGATGGTAACAATCTGTGCAGTAGTTTTCTGTGTTTCAGGATTCCTATTCAGTCAAAAGCATCTTTCAAAAACATAAATACATTTCACTACAATTAAAGCAGTCATTCCTTTTGGATCAGCAATGAACATAGCTATGAATGTAACAGATTTGTATGCCATTACAACCAAATGCAGTGGTTTAGACTCAAGGGGGTACTTTAAAATTCCTCCAGCTGCTTCCTTGTGTGGTCAGGGGAAAGGTGAAAAATTACTCTCAATGTGTGTGTTCTTCACTCTACCTTCCGTTTATGTAAATGCTAAATACTTGTTGTTATTCTGTAAGATGTGGCAGTGAAATGTATATTCAGTAAGATGTGGCTAACAGTTAATCCTGGAATCAATGCCAGTCAGCTTTAAATGTGTACCCAGCCATTTGAATTGGGAAATGAAGTCAGGAGGTATGTGCCGCTGATCCTTTAGCTGTGTTAGTGTGATGGGTCACAGAGTTGGGGGTGGAGAGGGATTTTTGGCCTTACTTGACTTATGGTTTGATATTTTGGTATGTTTTTGGACTTGAGTGCTCACCAAACATCTTCTATGACTCTCTCCATACCTAGTAACTTAATCTCTTCACATTGTACGTGGTTTCATGAAAGACCCCTTGTAGTGAAGGTCTTTTGGGGTTTATTGTGGCATGATTCCTTCCTGCACAGGCTTTTCTTCTTGTAAAGCTTGGGAGGAGTTGGTGATAGACCTTGACTGTACAAAAGCACAAAGGATTTACTCCTTGTTGAAAATGCTTGTCCGATTTGGAACCACATTTGTATGGATATATACCACCCTTTTATGGTTCACAGAAGCAGAACTGAGGTGAAAAGTGATTCTTTACCAGGTGGTTTTTATCTTTTGCCTTCCTGTATTAGCTGCTTTGCTCATTTGCATTTGACTACGAAAAGCCTTAGTTTTCTCTGAGAAAAGCAGAGAGAAGAGGAGAATTTATCTCAGAATTTCTCTGGGCTCCCAGCATGTTTAAATAGTCTTGGCAGCAGAATGCCTCTTCTGGCGTTATTCCACCAAAAATCTGCTGTCTAGTAATCTGTTGTAATTCAGTCTGCTTGAAATCACAGGGAGGATTGTTGAAAGAAGTGCTAAATGTATGCCACCTGCTCCCATGGTTAGGTGCTGTGAATGCTCACTATGAAGAAGGAAATGCTATAGAGAGCAGAGTTCATGGAGAGAACAGGATTGGTGGGCGAGCATTCCCACTTCTTGTTTGAATAATGTATGGGTTGCATATTTACATCAGTGTGTCAGTGAAGGGAACCTGGGGGTTTTGGCTCATATTCAGAGCTAAGGAAAAAAATCTGTAACACACTGGAGCAAAATCTTGCATTTTAGTCAGTACTCCAGCTGGAGGCCCCTCTCTCTCATCCTCACTCCCTCCCTGTACTTTCTTTCAAGAGAGGGTATACTTTGATCAGTGGAGAATATTCTACATTGAATACATAGAATTCAGAACTGTACAATACATAGAATATCCTGCAATGAACCTGTTTCTCTTGAGCATCTTAGGCTTTAGAAACTCTTCAGCAACAGTAAGGCTGGGTTGGAGTCCCCAGCCCTTGAGGAATGTAAGGAAGACCAAAGAAATTCCCCCCACTGAGTGCTTATGAGAAGGAATGTGACAACTGTCTAGAGAAGATACTGCATGTTACTTTGTTAGCAACGCTGCATTCACAAGAAGGACTTACGAGCCAGCGTCGTCCCTGTTACCCTAAGAAGAGACAAAGCTGGGAACTTTCCAGAAAACTTTATAGTAGTTGTATAGTAGTGATGGAGATATCTCTAAAGAGTTCTTGTGTTTTGGGCTATCGGGCAACAGGAACTTTTTCCCCTTAAGAAGGGAACATCATGGATGTGCAGATTTAATGACCGTTAGAAGTAAGCCATCTAAGGTTGAAAGTTTACTTTGGCAAACTGAATTTAGTGCAACAGAAATAAACAGCCTGTTTTGATGCATTTGGAATGTTCTTAGTTGGATGGGTTCAAAGGCGATGGGGGAGAAAGAATCTGAATTGAAAATGGAAGTTTAAATAGGAGGAAGACTATTGGAGCAGGGCATTTGGGTTCAGCTCCGTTTTTGGGGGTATAGTTAGATTATTTTTGGGAAGAGGAAGTAAGAAAAGTACCTTTGTAGGTGTGTCACTGTTAGCGTGGTGTACAGACAGAACACTGTGCTCTGTTCTGTGTAGTGTGTAACAATCACACATTAGCTCACTGAATGCTGGATTTCACAAATGCAGAGGGTGAAGCCAAGCCAGCTCGCTGAAAGCAGCACCTGCATTCCAGTGGCTGGTGCAGATCATGTGATGGAAGTTATAACCCAGGTGAAATGTTAATCACTAAACTTGGCACAGTTGAAGCTTTTAATCTTTTATTACAGTTTTCTAGGGAGAGGCAGGTTATGGACAACAGCCCAGAAAAGCTGAAGAAGGAGTTAGAGGAAGAACTGCAGCTGAGTAGCGAAGACTTGCGTAGCCATGCTTGGTACCACGGACGTATTCCTTGGCAGGTATGTGGCCTTTGCATCGCCAATTGTGCTTTGGGCTTTTATAGACAAGCAGAATTGCACTGTAGTACTATACACATCTCTCTTATCTGCATTAATTGAGTAGAAACATAAGGCTTATTTGTGTGAAAGCTATGGTATTTATCACAGCTTAGCATAAAATGAGGCTGGGAAAAGATTCAGGGCAGACAACAGTGGGAAATACAGATATTTCGTGATTTGTGTGAATAAAGGTAGAAATGGAATTCAAGCTTTATATGAGAATACTATCCCCATGTGTTCAGGCACACTGACATTGATTTGGTTCAGTATTCTTAACCAAACCTAAGATATTCTTGTTTATTTTCATTCTTGCACTTGGAATATGGGGGAGGGGAAAAAACCCCACAACAAAATCTATGCAATAACTTGATGTTAATCCTTACAAACGTAGTTAAAAGGGGTTAAAGCTGTGGCTGAGTTGGAGCTTCGGTTCCCAGAGCGCCTGGAGCTCCCCCTGTGGGGCTCCCGGCTCTGGCCAGAGCTGCAGGCTGCCGTTCCTCTCGGTAAGGAGAGCCCGCACAGCACCCACGTACACTACACCCAAGATTGACTGTTAGATGCAGAGTTTATCACATGAAAGGACTAACTCGGAACAGGAAAAACAGGATTGCTCTGACTCTTCCTAGTACTATGCAGTATTCACAAAGAATAAAAAATGAAAGCTTCTGTCACTGAAGGTAATAATGAAAAGACAATTCTGGGGTCCTGTAGTAAGTAGGCTTCTAAATGTCAGTGTGACTGTCTATTTAGATGCTTTGAAGTCTAAAATCCTGAGTCATTGCTTTCCCTTCATGTCTTATTTTCTATTAGCAAACTAAAAGAAATACATATGTAAATGTGGGTCATGCTGCTGGGCATTTTCCAAGAAGCCCCTCCACATCTCTGCCATGGGATGAGCTCTTCTTACATTTGGTATTGGAGACATGGTTCTTCTACTGCACTTCACGCTTTGCTGTATATTTCTGGCTTTATCTGTCCTTCCAGAGCAGCCAGACGAAGTCCTATGTTTAAGAATATTTTATTGCAATGTGTTGTTTGACCGCTTGTTTTCTGATTCTGAAAGTCTTTTTTTGCATAATCGTTTTTCCTCAAAGGTGGCAGAAGGCCTGGTTCAGAGAGATGGAGACTTTCTGATCAGGGATTCTCTCTCCAGCCCTGGAAATTTTGTTCTCACCTGTCAGTGGAAAAATACCTCACAGCATTTTAAAATCAACAGAACAGTTCTAAGACTCAATGAAGCCTACTGCCGTGTTCAGTATCAGCTTGAACTGGAAAGCTTCGACAGCATCCCTGGCTTAGTTAGATACTACGTTGGAAATCGCACACCAGTATCAAAGCAGAGTGGAGCAATTATTTTTCAGCCTATCAACAGGACTGTGCCTCTCAGGTGTCTAGAGGAAAAGTATGGTGTAACTCCAGTCAGACAAAAAGAAGCAAGCATCCCTGAAGGAAAACCAGAAACTGCAAAAAGGCTGAGTCTTGGTATATCCAGCATGCAGTCCCCGGAGCAGAGCATACTCAGGGGCAATCTTTTGAGGTACTTTAATTTTGCTGTCCTTATGGAGGGAAATGAGGTAACTCTTTCAGCTCCTGCTGTAGGTGATGTGAATTTTCACTCTGATTTTAGATGGGAGGCTAGGTATGAGGGTTTGCTGATTCTTAGCAAATGAGTTGAGAGCAAATGTAGGCTCTGGAAGCACAACAGCAGTGCAGCTTGTTCTTAGCAAATCTTGACTAGAATAAAACAAAGGATTAAAATAAAACCTTCTTGCTGCTCCAGAGAAGCCTTTCTTTACATATTTGACTTGTGCAATAAAATGCCAAGTGTGGGATAATGGATCCTAATTTCAGTGTCCAAATCAAATGTTCCATTAAAAAGACTCAACACTCTAAGAAACACCCTCACAAATGCTGCAGGGTCACACATTATAGCCCATTCGTTGCTACCACAACAGCATGAAGTACCTTTTATTCTTACAAGCTGCCCAAGTGGGAAGCTAATGATCCTTGCGCTGGTTATGATATAATCTGGCAACTAGGTATGTATGTTAAGAGTGTTAGATATATTGATATGGTTTTGTTTGCATTTCTGTTTATCCTAGAAACAAAGAGAAAAGTGGTAGCCAGCCAGCCTGTTTGGATCATGTTCTGGAGAAAAGATTCCCTCTGAAGGCTCACCAGTCAGAGAGCTATCTGCTAATAGGTATGTTTTACAATTAAATGTTTCACGCTTAGAACCTCTGTGTGCCCAGGTGGTCTGTTCCACTTCATACCAAAGTGACATTATTATGTGTTCTCAGTCCTGTATATGCAGTCATATTTAACAGCCAGCGTAAGCTGTGTTAGCATATTGCTTGCTCTTTAAGTCATTGGAACAGGTTTTTTACTTTAGCAATGCACCAGGTAGCTGAGTACCTTGGCACACAGCTCAGCAGGCTTCCACACACAAGAAAACAACAGCTACAATTGGCATTAATGTCTTTTTGACAGTATGACCTTTCCTCACTTGTGCTTTACAAGAACCGACTTGTCTCACTCATGTCATTCTGACAAGTCTATTAAGTAGAAGCTCTGTTTCATGGAAATCCTATTAACTGCTGAAGTATGCAGGTGTGGTAGTGTTCCTCACCAGGAAGAAAGCACTGCCATGGATTTTGTACTCAGTTCTGTCCTATTTCTCTCAACCTTCCCTCTCACGCCATATCTTTTGCTTTTCATTTCTTTTGCTGCTGTCTGGTTCCATGGCCACTGTCGTTATCTTCCTCCAGTGATGCAAGGTGTACCAATACTTGATCAGTTGTTGATGGTGGCTTTTTATTTCTCAGGCTCTTCAGAGGTTAACCAATTGTATCCATGCTAACATACTGTGTAAGGAAGTTGCAAGGATGCATCTGTTCCCTATGGACATATTTTAGTGTTTCACTTCCAAGGCTGCTAGTCATTTTGAATATGATAGCTGTTGAAATTTGTAATGCCTATTGTGGAAAGAATTCTTGAGAGTCAAAGATAATACTGAGTATTTGTAAAGTGAGACTATATTTTGATAAGAGGGGTGCGCTCCTGTGTTTAACAGTTGGATGGACAAACATTCATAAAACAGTTTTCTGTTCATCTGTAGTCAAATCGATCATCTTATTCCAATCCATGGCTGCAAAACCTTTTCTTTTGGTACTACACCAGTAAATCTGAAGAGTACTGCTGTGTCACAGGGTCCTTCAAGCAGGTGCTGGTATCATACTGCTTATGAGTGGTGACAGGCTGTGATCTGCAGAAATTGAGAGCCAGCTGGAAATAAGCAGCAAAGCCCATGTGCTGCAACTGGCCACTTTGCTGTAGATACCAGCAAATGCACTGAGAACTGCCGACTGGGAATGTCTGGTACAGGCTTCAGTCCTAGATTGGATGCTGAGGTTTGAGTCCAGGATGAGGTATGAATACACAGAATCATGTGGATGTGTTTCTCCAGCTCTTCCTATCAACTACCATTTAGGAAAAAGATTAGCAACCCTGAAATTCATTCCTTCCATACCTTATAGCAGGTTCAGGCTTGACTTCGGGAAGCTTTTCTTTCATCTCAAACTTGTCATTCTCAGAAATGACTCATCTTTTATGTGGTGTGGCTGGAAGTTTCTGCCTTTATGGCCTAGATCAGGTTACAAAGAAGCCTCCTATTCCAAGCTGTGGAGACTATCCAGCTCTGACAATATAGCCTAGGTATGCAGCAGGGACTGGAATTATTGTCATCATTACCACAGAATAATATTATGGTGCAGCTGTTCTGTGTATTTGGGACTTGGGGAGGATCAGCAGGAGAATGGAATTTGCTGGCTAGCTCATTCCTCAAAATACAATTTCATATACATTTTTGTCAGCAAGTAATTGGCATGATCTGTCAATATTTTCCTCAGGAAAAAGCATTAAGAGATGAACCCTGGGACAGGCGTCAGGAATTGTATGTGTTTTGGCCTTCTAAAATACCATTTTCTCTTGCAGGTTCAAGACATCCATCTCGGTTACCTGAAGCAGATGCAGACCCCTATCCAAGCTCTCCTGCGTTTAGAACAGGCAGTGAACCTTCTCTAAGCCCCACAGTTGTGCAGAAAGTCACCTCTGAGTTACAAGTAGGAGAAGCTCTTAGAGGATCAGACAGTCAGCTGTGCCCCAAGCCTCCACCTAAACCCAACAAAGCACCCCTCATAAAGCCCCCAGATTCTCCCTTAGCTTCCCACAGTTCAGAAGGACACTACTGTGAACTGAGCCCTGCCAGAGATCCTGCAGCAACAAAGCAGCAGTTATATCAGAAAACCAGCTATGTGGAACATCTGGCACAAAAGGAGAGGGGAACACACTCATTCAGGAACTCTGAAACTAACTATTTGATCCTAGAAGATGACCCTACGATGAACTCTGCAGATCCTTTAGAAGCTTCAACTCGTATGGCAGAAGATGACAGCATCTTTTCTGCACCTGTGTTTGAGACAGTGTCTAGTTTTAAACCGAATGATTTTGAATCCAGACTACTTCCTCCTGAAAACAAGCCATTGGAAACATCAATGTTAAGAAGAATTAAGGAGCTTTTCACCAACAACAATCCAAAGGTTATTGCACAACATATTCTTAGAATGGACTGCAAGGTAAGAAAAAACTCCTGCATTTTATTTTGTATTGTGCAAGTTCATACTTTTAAAATAACTGATTTGAAAAGATTAATGGGTAGATTTGCAGCTAATGTAACAAATGTATTGACTTGTAGGAATTTTTAGGGTATTGGGCTATTGTTTTGTCCCCATTGGGAAAACAGGCTGTTTAGCCTGGAGAAGAGAAGCTGTGTGGAGACATCGTAGTACCTTCTAGTATCTAAAGGGGGCCTACAGGGGTGCTGGAGATGGACTCTTCATCAGGAACTGTAATGATAGGACAAAGGGTAATAGGTTTAAACTTGAACAGGGGAGATTTAGGTTGGATCTAAGGAAGAAATTTTTTACTGTGAGGGTGCTGAGGCACTAGCACAGGTCGCCCAAGGAAGCTGTGGCTGCCTCATCCCTGGCAGTGTTCAAGACCAACTTGGACAGCTGTATGGGTGTGTGGGGGGGAAAATAGCTATCAGGCCTTGTGCATTTCTCTCCTATGAGAACTGTATTGCCAGGGAATTGTTTAGAAAGATGTAAAAACCACATAGCGTTATTTTTCTACAGTGTAGACTTTGTTCAGCTGGCAGGGCTGGGAGATGGGCTGTCGGATCAGAAATATGGAAGGACAGGAGAAATCATTTCCTTGTGGGCTGATGACTTGGTCTAAATAAAGGAATGCAATTGCAGTTGAATCTGCACTTTGCTGGGGCTGCCAGGTGCTGTACCTGCCACAGAGCAGCTACAGGAACTGAGTGTCATGGGCCTTGTTGGGGTTTAAGTGCAGCTTGAGAAGCAGCATGTGTGGCTACTTCGTGGGCAGCTCCACTGCAGACAAGAAAGGAAGGGGGAGTTGAATAGTGGTGCTCCACAAGAAACATGTCTAGCACTCAGCTAGTGCTGCTGCACTGATTCACACCTCGGGTCTGGGAAGGGGGTAGTTCACTGGAGAAGCAGTGGGATGAGTGTGTGCCAGTCTCTGCCAGCTGCTGGGTTCCTGCCAACAGCAAACACAGCTTCTCTCCTCAGTACTGGTGTTGGCTGCTGCTGAGTGAGGCTTCATGCAGACATGGTGACTTGGAAGAGCTCAGCTCCACAACTGCTTGGTCTTTTCAGAAGTGATAGACTGTGGCTTCTTTTCTATGATTCCAAGAGTAGTACCAGCATTCTCTAACATTTTAGTTCTGAAATTTTCCTTTTCCTCCTTGAGCCTCATAATAAAAACCAGAATGTCTTTTAATATACTATTAAAGAGTATGTTGCTTGAAGGCACAGGATATGCATGCCTTAGAGAATTAGTAAGGGAGTTTTATATATGTTATATTCAATTAGCTTGTTATTAGTCTCCTTATTTTAAATTCTATAAGCTCTGGAATGGGCCCAAGGAAACTGGCCTGCTGGAACTTTGGGAGACTGCACAATTCATTAAGAGTCACCGGAGTGTTTTATAGAAACGGATTTCTGGGATTTGGAGCAGGAACAGTAACTGGCTGGGACATGTAGAGAAGTCTGTTTTATCTTCATCTTGCAGTGCTGAGAGCCAATGACATTCGTTTGTAACTTGCTGCATACTACCATGCTGATAAGAACTGCATGATGCAACAGGATTGGCATGCAAACTGGGAGAGAATAAATGCTTTGTACTGAGATCTGTGATAAGGCTGAAGTTCATAGCTCGTCATGAGTGGCATCAGTAGCTCAGTTTGCCTTTTAAATAGGGAGATTTCTAATAATGAAAGGAGCATCCATATGGTGATAGAGTGAATATCTGCTACTTGCAAGCCTTGGAGGGCTTTTTGTGACAAAGGAGTAGTAGTCAGTGTGTCTACAGGGGCTTCAGAGCACTCCTGCATCTCTAGAAGTGAAACAGGTTTTTCTACAGTGCTAGATTCTGTACCAGGGAGGCCTGTTGTGTGGCCCAGATTGCTTTCATCTTTTCATAACCAAGAAAAGCCTGCTGATCTGTCAGAAAATAGCAGGCAGATTGGTTTGTACATGTGTCAACATACAGGTCTTAAACCAGCAGATAATCTCACATTAGCATATTAATGTGGTTTTGCTTATAATTAGCGAATTAGCATATATAATTGCTATTGCTATAACCAGTAGCTAATGTTGTGTGTTTAAAAAGCAGAGACAAATTGGTGAGGGTGTCAGCTTTCACACGCTGGCTTCATTAGGCACTCAACATTCAGTGTCCTTCTTAAAGGCCTTCTACTCGTTAATCCTTATGAGGAGCCTGTGGTTTAATCCAAAAGCATTCAGAGCGACCATCTTTTAAGGAATGAAGGTGGCAAAGCAAATGTTGGTCTTCTTGTGTAAGGCACAGAAAGTGCATAAGTTAATCAAGTTTTAATTAGATAACTGTATTACAGTGTTGGATGCTGTGCACTTATCTGTGTGCCCTGCACTAACCTGGAGGACTTCTATGTGGCTGGGGGGCGTTGAAGTAAATGAGTTTCAAATCACATGCAGGTCTTTGCCCTTGGCAGGTGGCAAGGATAGTGGAAGTATCTGAAGAGATGAGGAGGCTTATGGGAGTGAACTCTGGGCTGGAACTGATCACCTTGCCTTACGGACATCAACTGCGCCTTGACCTCATTGAAAGGTAAATGTTCCTGTTACTCATTTCCAGGGCAGATGGCCAGAAGATCAGAGCATTGCCACATTGTACTCTGCTTCCTCAGAGTGCTCGTCTGCACGTTGTCTGAATTCATGTGTACAGAGGGCAAGTTAGAGATATGGCATAGAACTGCTTTTCGCATAGGAAACATTTCTTAAGGTCCTGGGGCAAATCCATGCCTGTAATAGAGGGAAAGCGAAATTGTCATGAAAGCAGGGTCCCTAGAGCTGCTGAACACCTTCAGCTCTCCTTTAAGAGCTCAGAATCTATCTGAATGTGTGTTTGTGGAAGAAATTGCAGGCAACAGCCTTCTGCAGTTGGAGAAGAGGCTAGAGGAGCTAGTAAAGTAAAAAACTATCAGCAAAGCTGCTTCTAAAATCTCTGCGCAAGTTAAAGGGGAACAATTAGGGGTCTAGGTTTTCTGCTGCTCTGATTCAGATCTCAGTAGTTTGGTTGCTGAAATTTAGGTGGAAGGTCCCAGGATTTGAGTGCAGAGGACAAAATGGAGTTGGGGCAATTTTCCCAGAAGTGTTCATTCATTCATTGCTTGAGCAGAATTTTGTATACTAATAATATTTCAGGAAATCTTACTATATTTATTTTAAACACCAGTGTATATCTGTTCCATATAATCACATTACTGCTCTTGATACAAAGATGTTGGCAAGATTAAGTTTGCTGGGCACACCAAGATACTGAAATACACCTTTGAACAAATTTTCCTGAACACATGTGCAGCATAATGCATTATTTAGTAATTGGCATAAATTGTTTCATTTACAGGCACAATACCATGGCAATAGGAATAGCTGTGGATATCCTGGGTTGCACAGGAACAGTAGAGGATAGAGCGGCAACATTAAACAGGATTATCCAAGTCGCAGTGGAGCTGAAGGACTCACTGGGGGATTTGTATGGATTTTCTGCCATTATGAAAGCTCTGGAAATGCCGCAGGTAAAAACCCTGTTTCTCTTTATTTTCCAAACCATGGAGGAGTTTGATAGTTTGTTTATTTTCATTTATGCAATTTCTTCAAGACTAGAGAGCTCTTCAGAACCAACTTCATCACTAGCAGGGTGCTGTTCCTGTGAATTGCTGTGGCGTCACTAACAGGTATTCTCTCATTTTGTATGAACAGGTCACTAGGTTAGAACAAACCTGGACCTCTCTGAGACATCGTTATACCCAGACTGCCATTATGTATGAAAAACAGCTGAAGCCATTTAGCAAAGCTTTGCATGAAGGACAAGATGAGTGGAACAGTGAGTATGAGTGACACTGGTTTCTATCTATCTGGCCTTTTAACTCCTCACTACTCATTTCCTGTGTAGGGAGATGAAGCAGCTGCTGTTTGGATAGCTGTGCATCACATGTTAGAAGGACTATGTGAACTTATAGAAGGAAACAGTCTGCCAAACAAACAGCCTGTGCTTGTGTGGATGTACCCATGCAGAATATAGCATCCTTCTCAAACCTATACTCCCTCTTTGTGGAGCAGAAACTGAAACACTCTGCATCACTTTGCCTCAAAAACAGGAAAAAAATCTCCTTTCTTCCTCAGAGGAGAGTTATTTTTAGCAGATTTTGCTTTTTATTTGCTTTGCCTATTGGATCAGAGGATGAATCCTCGAATACAAAGAATGGGTTAGTCAGAGGATTCCTCTGAATACAGGTTCTGAGATCAGGATCTGAGATCTGAGCGGATTCCTCTGAGATCAGGTTCTCCTGCATCAATTCTATGCAGCTCTTGTCTTCAAAGCAGTGCGAGGCAGAGAATAACACTTCTCTAAGAGAATGAGTACAGAAAGAAAATGTCAGCCTCACGGAATTTATTGGAATGATGCAGATTTTAAATGTGTTTTAAATCTCTGTGCCACTGTCTAGTAATTCAGCAGAGCACCCTCCTGTAACAAATCCAGTTTTTCAACACTAACTTGGCCTGGCCGCCTCCCCCAGCCAGTGCACTGGAAACTGGTAGGACTGGTGTTATCTGTCTATCTATCTGAGGTAAGGTGTTAATTTGGAAGATGGAAGAAAAAGAGTAGTTTCCAACTTTGAAGAGAATACTGCAGTTACATTACTTTCTTCAATTAGCAATTTCATAATGTCTGATGATATGATTAACTTGTTGCTCTCTATCCCAGAGACCACCAGCACTCCACAGAACAATGTGACCGTGCCACTGCTGATGCCTCTCATTACCTTGATGGAAAGACAGGCTGTCATTTTCGAAGGGATGGACCTGTGGGAAAGCAGTGACCAAAGCTGTGAGATAATGCTCAAGCACTTGGCCACGGCTCGTCAGATAGCACAGAACGCAGAAATGTACAGCCTGACTGCACAGCGGATGCTGGAAGGTAGGGAGCAGCGTAGGAGAAACTGCAGCACCTTGACGCAAAGGGGTTATGTCTGGAGAATAAGGTCTCTGCCTAAGTGCCACCAATAGTCCAAGAAATTCTTTTCCTCTTTCATGGGAGCTGAGATAGTAGCAAATGTCCTGCAGGGAACTCAATCTGAGGACAACATCAATATTGCTTAAATGTGGACTGTTTGTTAGTTAATTATTAATTAATCATTGCAGCTCTCCAGTAAGCAACGGAGCATGTTTTTACTAAACAAAAATCAAAGTTCTCATGACTTACTTAATGTGCTTGACCCTTCTAGCAGCTGACCAGAAGTACAGTAAGGACTGAGGATAGCTTCTTTTCTTGTATAGTTTCAAATCCCTACTCTGGTTTTTGCAAATAAACCACCACTTATCATAGTAAGTTTTTTTACAGCAGTGCAAAATGCAGCACTGAGATCTTGACCTCTCGCAGTCAGAAAGCAGCAATGTGTTCAACATGTGATTCTGTATTTTAAACTTTCAGTGAAACTGTTAGAGGAGGGGAGGGAACTACTGATTTCTAAACAGATTATTTATTTACTGTGTCATCAGTCAGTGAATGATCCCTTTAAACTGGTAGGCTAGCCCTGTAACGTGGTCTTACAGCTTTTTGTATTATTTCCCAGTTAGAATGTTTTAATACTGCCTAGGATTTAAGGGCATTGGCTTCTTAACATTAAAATTAAGCAAATGGTGTAAATACAAGAATAGATTAAGTATGTGACATTGCAGAAAATTTGTTGTATAATACTCTTTTAATGAATATAAATCACTGTACATAGAATTGTCAATTAAAGTATATCTTTATGCAAGTAGTAAGTATACAGCAGTAATTGGATTTAGGGTCAGGCTATAATGACAATTTCAGACCATTAGACCTGAGCCAAGGGATAGCCTGTGCAAGTGTCCCTAAAGCATTTGTGAGCTATAGAATATCACAAATGGAAAGGACTGTCACTTGTTTAAAAATCACTTGTTAAATCACTGTGCAGAAGGAATCCAGCACGCTAAGGCTTATCTTATTTGGAAGGAATAGATTTTAAAAGCCATTTCTTCTGAATAGAATTCTTGCCTGATGGGGACATTGTGTGATTCTTTTTTCCTTACTAGGTTTTCAGCCAGATGAAGAAATGAGTGAAATCTTCAAGACAGAATTTCAAATGAGATTGCTCTGGGGCAGCAAAGGAGCACAAGTTAATCAGAATGAAAGATATGAGAAATTCAGCCAGATTTTAACTGCACTTTCCCGAAAATTGGAACCTCCCCCAGTGAAGCAGGTGGAACAATTAAGTATATAAGACTCTGTAAACACTATTTAAATGATATACTTGAAATATACTTGGTTTTCTTTTAGCAATTTGATACAGCACAAACTTCTTGCATTTCACAAGATGTTTAGACCTTTTAACTGCAACTTGTTTTAAAACTACTGATTTCTAAACAGATTATTTATTTACTGTGTCATCAAGTCAGTGAGTGATCCCTGTAAACAACAGGTAGGTTAGCCCTCTAAGGTGGTCTTACAACTTTTTGTATTTCCCAGTTAGAATGTTTTAATACTGCCTAGGATTTAAGGGGCATTGGCTTCTTAACATTAAAATAAAGCAAACAGTGTAAATACAAGAATAGATTAAGTATGTGACATTGCAGAAAATTTGTTGTATAATATTCTTTTAATGAATATAAATCACTGTACATAGAATTGTGAATTAAAGTGTATCTTTATGCAAAATAATTTGCATATTTGCAGAATGCAGAAATAGTGCAAGTTGCAGAAATCATATTTTATCTGTGACCACAAGAGAAGGCTCAACTGTCATTGTTCCTGTGAAGGTACAAAATGAGTTGTATATGTGTTGAGACAACTTACTTACTTTTTGTTTAAGACAGCATCTGTAGTACTTTGGCTTTTGCTGGAGCCTACATAAAAGAGCTACGCTGCCAGGAATGAATGATGAAATGGCAAGAAGAAACAATCCAGATAATTAAAATGCTTTCAGATATGAGTAAATGTGAGTGTATGAATGCATTAAACTTGCTTCGTTTACTGAGGTAAATGGTAAGTAGTACTTTTTTTTAAATAGATGAAGGCAAAGCATAAGCTGTTAGCACTTTTCACAGGAAATCAGCGTGCATGGTGTTTACATAAAGAGTGCTCTAGCAGCAAATTCCACTGTATCACATACAAAACTGGTGTATAAGCATTATTCTCAGAAGTTATATTAATGTTTAAGCAAGAACTATGGTTAGAGCTGCATGTGCTCATTATTAAGTCTATTTCTGGAGAGAGATACTCCTTTTACAGCATTTGAAAGTATTTGAGCAGGCTCACAACACAGCCAACAACCAAAATGGCATGATCTGTTCCCCCCATGTACAATCATCACAGCAGAGGTTCTACTACCATAACAAGAGGTTACAGACCTCACGCTGGAAGTCTTTAACAGAAGACAAATGGGGAAGCTAATTACTTAGACCATGAAAAGATTTTTTTATTCCATGAAAATATTCTCAACAGAGAACACTATTTTTAAACAAAGCATTAACATTTAGGAAATCAACATGTGCACAAAAAAGGATTAAAAATTACTGGAAAATGTAAGATTCTTTAAGACAACTCACGTTCAGAATTTTAGAAGTGATTTGTAACTAGCTGTGCAAGTACAAATGTTTTTTTCCTATGTTTAATAACCCTCATACAAGTTGCACTATCCCTCTTGAAAGCAACCTGCCTCCAAAGGAAGCAAATCCTGGTTTTAGAAAAACAAACAGTAGCGTGAAAAGAACATTTAGTCCTTTACCAGGAAGCATTATTACTGACCTGCAAGGCTGTTAGCCAGGCAAACCCCAGGCCCTTTAGCAGAAAATACACAGATCACATTTCCTCCTTTTCTCTGACTTTAAAATAAAAACACTAGAATTTAAAACAAAACAAAACCCCAAAACAAAAACAAAAATTCCCATCCCAACAAACCCCCAACCCCTCAAAAAACTACCTAAGTAGTTTTGTCAGTATTGAGTAATGTCACATTATTATATAAATAACCCTGTATACAAGCTCCAAAAATCTAAACTTTAGAGTTTAATAGCCCCCATAATACACTAGGTCAAGCTGTGTAATAGTGGTATACATAACAAAAGGAATAAACCTCTACACAAGTCACTCAAATTCAGTCTTACTGGTAGTACAGTTCCTACTAACACTGAAATTAAAGTCCAGCACTGCTGCATCCAACTATTGCTTCAGACCCCAGGAAAGCTGGATGTTTTGATTCTGATTTAATTTCCCCAAACAATCAGCAGGTGGCTGGGTTGACAAGCTTGCTTTGATACAAGTATCCCTCCCCCCAACATCGCTAGTCTAATTCTTACCACCCCAGTAAATCAGATACGGTGTATTTATTAATAGAACCACAAATGGGAGGCAAGACAACATAAGCAATAGGGGCACTGCAGACAACTATATTTACACGTATAAACATATCCAAATTTCAATTGTTTACAAGTAAAAGTGCACATAGATCATTAACGAAGTATCACTCAAATTTCAACTGGTCCATACAATGAAGCATCACCTGGAAATGGACTAAGCACTGCAGTAATTAAAATTGGAACTTCATAGTGAAAAACTAAAAGACAGTTTCCATAAAAATATTTTAAAAAAATATTAAAAGTCAAATGAAGAGATAGATACACATTTCAATGTATCAAATTCATGATGCACCATGTATCCAGTAAAGTAGAGCTCTAGAAAACGCCTACCGTGGCTACCTCAGCAGCTGCAGCACTGTGAAAAGAGCTGAGACACAAAGCCCTTTGTGGGATACTGTAAGTAGTAGTGTTGGCAAACAACAGATTTAGGCACTCTAGTTTAAGGCAGCATTTGAATGGCAAGTGGTTGACTTCTGAAAACAGTCGTTAGCTCATAGTGGTGAATCGCTCTGGACATGTTCCAGGTTTTCAGTGCTCACAACAGGTTACTGAAGTGCTGGAGATGGACCACAGTTCTAGGAGTTTCTCTTGATTGCATTGTAGGCTAGAGCCAAGATGTATCATTTCCCCAAACCAACACAAATACATACGGTCTCTTATCAGTTACGCCAAAAACTGGAATGTAATGATGATTGCAGTGGTATAGTTATAGCAGCATACATGGATACTGGGATGGAACTCTAGTGCTGAAGATAGTTGAAGAAAATGATTTGTTACAAAATAAGACAAGCAATGATGGCAAAGTATTACGCAGACATGCCCGACTGTCCTAGGCATGCAGGAGGAGGTTAACGGCGAGCATGGAGGTGGCACAGGCAGACTGATAACTGACTTATGGTTCTAAATGATTGCCAGTTGAGTTGAAAAGAGCGTAATTGAGATATAACCAAGATATAGCACAAGCTAAAATATAGTTTGTGCATCTGGGACAACCTCAGACAATGAAAATAAAGCAATTTCAGGAGCAGAAGCCTTTTTACTCTGGGAATGGCACTCTATTTTCCTGCGCAAATTGAAGAATTTGTATTACCATTCTTACCTATGTATGGAGATGCTACGATGTTAGTGACTAAATGTATGTCTGCATGCATTCATGCAACTAGCTTTTCCCCTTGGGCCTCCCAGTCTAGAACCCCACCCCCCCACCCCCCAGCAGCTGCATGTAACCTCCTTCAAGATCTCGCCCATTTTCTCAGAAACCCGCTTCAGGAACCTGCAGTCCAAGAGGAAAAAGAAAAGAACACAGTTACTGAAGGCCTTTAGAAGACAGAGAAGCGTGCTCGGTTCTAACAGGCCGTTCTCAGTGGCTACACATCAGCCTTGTACTTAATTCCACAAACTCTGGTTAGAAACACGAGCCACAGCTTTTAGATTAGCTTTTTTTTTTCCACCCTAGTAATCAAGTAGTGCAATGCCACTTCCAACCCTCAGAGAGGGGAATTGCTGTACATTTAAGACTGATTTCAAACTAAACATGATGCAATTCAAGCACTTAAGTTTACAGGCACAGATTAAGAATATAACATGATTCTATTTCAGGAGCAGAGAAGAGGTTTCAGTAAGACATCAAGCATTACACATGGTCTTTTTCTTTCTTTGTTGCTCAAGGTGTCTAGAGTTAAAACAATGGAGTTGAGTCCAATACACAACATTCTACATTACCAGTGCTGAAAAGGAAAGAGAGGCAGGTCAGTGGACTTTCTGTCCTCCTTAATAATAATGTTTTTTCCTGAGTATTTTTGTTGAGCTTTCAGAATCAGAAAACATTTTCCTGTTTAAGAAGTTAAAGCTGCCAAGTATTTGCTAAGGAAGGAAATTAATAATTTTCAGTAACTGAGTTCAGTAAGTTCTTAGAGGAAAAAACCCTCTGTTTCAAGCATCTAGTTTAAGCCATAAAAATAGGAATGGTAAATCTTGGGAGATCTTTAAAACTAAGTAATTTTTCAGTTCTCTATAAAAACAAAGTATTTTACAGAATAAGCAGGAATTAGGTCTTTTGCAGTTTGATAGCTCAACTGGATTTAGTGGTTTGTAAAGCAGGAACTGTAGTAGATCAGTTAAAGCAGAAGACATTGGTCAGAATTACAGACCAGTGTAAGATATGTAATTTAGTGTGCTCATCTCTGGAAAAAAATACAGCAAACTCACATTGCAAACAGACCACTGCTGATACCACAATGCTTTCCATGAACCTGTGTAACTTACTATTTTTTCACTATTTTCCCTGGGGAATGTACAACTGAAAGCTGACAGTTTATTGTTAGATATAAGTTACTGCACCTTTGCTGTTTTTCTCTAGCGTTACATCTATATATGATGTTGGCACATAGCCTTCCTCTCCATTATGTCTTCGAGCTCTTGTCCACCCATCTCCTTTGTCCTCCTCAATAATGTACAGAACCTCCCCTTCTTTCATTGCCAGAGTGCCTTCATTATGACCTGGGAAAAACAAGAAGCCAAGAAGTTTCAAGGTTCAGACAGAATTTCAAGTCATCTTTTTCCCAGGGCAGTTTCCAGATTATATATATATAAACAGGAAAACGCAAGTATCTATGCAAGAGAACGTATGGTCAAGCAGGCTTACAGACAAAAATCTAGTCTGAATGTAAAGCTGAATATTTGCCAATAGCTGTGCTAATACTTATCTTAAAACAGCACAAGAGCACTGCTTGTGAATTCAAGTGATTTGTAAAGCATTTCCACTAATCTCATAAGCAACTAGTTGCTCATACAGTTGATTTACTTTAAAGCATTTTACCTGTATTCTCCATAAGAAATAATCCATGCCCTGCAGCCAAGGAATGGCGGTGCATGCTGTGAACCTTACCATCAAAGGGATATATTGCCTTGCAATGTCCTATAGCTGGTAATGGATCATCATCTTCAAACTCATCATCAAACTCATTGGGTTGCACATGTTGCTGTGGTGGGCCTCGAACCTCCTGATTGGCATCATCCGTGTAACTGCCTTCAGGGCTATAATGCAACAGTTG